TTCTGCTTACTTTTATTAGATGCATAATTGTGCTGCATTGCCATTTCTACTGAAAAAAATAATATTGTTTATAGAAAAGTAATATTTATGCTTGTACAGTATACAATTTATTTACTTTTGTCAAATACGTGAAAAGAACTGTGGGTGCAAGATGAAAGACAATTTTTATTGTGCAGATAGACAATTTTACTTCACACAAATAACTAGGTATTTTTCAAAGGTATATGCAGTATTTTATACTGTAATTTTCATTAATGTTTTTATTTAAATATTAATATTTACATATGGTGGGGTACAGTGAATATCTACTGTTTATCATGAAGATTTTAACTGTGCAAGATACTTTCTCAGTGTCAGGATATGGTGGGTCTTGAGTCAGGCCACTAACATTATTTGTGAACATAGATTACTTTAGACATAATCCTGGTAAGACCATAAGTACAAATTATGTGTAAGTTTTTAACTCTGGGTTGTAAAAGTTATTACTGTTCAGTCTGGACAGCTTTTTAAAGCAGGAAGTGCTAAAGGTGTGTAGTATTTCATTTACTTTTGAGTGGGTAGTAATACAGTATTTCATGCAGTATTTTCCCTTGGGAGGACACAGATCAAGAATGATGATTAGAACAGATAAAGGCGATGCCTCAAACACATTGCTTTTCATTTAAGCTACGTAATTAAGGAGAAATAAAGGATTATGTTAATAATCAGTGGTCTAAAGAATTTACATACAGCATGCATGTTATGTAAGGCCTCACTTAGCCACTAGCAATAATGCATTTCACTCGCTGTAATGCAGGGGGGGGGGAAAGGGGGTGCATGCATGCAACTACTTGCCCACGGGTGCCATCAATGAGATCAATATGGCATATAAAATACACTTGGCAACAGTGGGTTGCACACAGAAGTGGCAGCTCTTTCATCATCTGCAAAAAATGACGTGCGAGTGTGTGGGTTTAAAAAAAGTATTTTATGAAATGGTTTAATAATCTTTAATGTGATTCGTACTAGGAAACATATCCATCATCTACCCTTAACCCATTATGAAAGTAAACTTTTATATAAGGATGATTTTACATGACAGTTACCTGCAAACTTAAGTGTCCCACTTATTCATCAGGATTTTGGCACCTTAACTTATCGCCTTGACACTTATATTCTGGCTTTTGTCTATACTTGGCACTTCTTTGTAGAAATTTACAAGACCATCTCATTTTTTATTGCCTTTAGGACTTTGCATATACCCTTCAAAGTCCCTATTCATACTTGTAATCACACTTTGACCAATGCCCCTGTTTGATGTTTTTTGTGCATGCTTGCAGGAATGTCTGTGCATGTTGGAAATCTCTTCCCCTGTATTGTGCTAACCTTAACCCCAGGGGCAAGTCTCAATTTTGTGAAGCTCTAACCTCTAAAAGTGAAGGCGTGTAGCCTCTTCCTAAGCCCCACTGTCGTGAAATGATTTCTCTCGAGAATATTTTCACTGCCATTCACATATTCCCTAAACCAGAACATATATTTAAAAACCCATGTTTCATTGTTATATTTCATTATTATAACCTCATTCACACTTGTACTGCACTTTGACCAATGCTCCTTTTGCTAACCCCTTTGTCTCTACCTTACAAATGTTTCCTTCATGGATGGTACTTGTAGGAGTGTCTGCATGGCTGCAAATACATGCCCATGTATTGTGCATGCATGGGGACGATTGTTTCATTTTCTAATGGCCGAGCCTGTAGAGTGAATGTTTCTTCACCCCAAGAAGAATGTTAACCCCAATGTGCTGAAGCACCTTTACATTAAGTGTATTTCTATCAGCATTCATATTACTACCTGGCCTCGGGCCGGGCTTAGGGAGTAGAAGAACTCCCAGAACCCCATCAACCAGGTATCAACTGCTCTCTTTATGGACAAATAAAAATCTGGGAAGGGTGAGATTGGTAATGATTTATACTACTGTACCATTGTTTTGGCACTAGAGCTATTGAGCTAGAGGATGTGGATTTCTTACACCTCTTCTCTTGTCTTTGGTTGGAGCTTGCTCTCTCTCTCTTTGTCATTTCCCTCTGGAGAAATACTTCTTTGCCGTTCTTTGGGATAGTTGGTTAGTTATTTTAAATAAATAATGTATTATTATGGCCTTCCTTGTGCCAGTGAAACAAATTGGGGAAAAGTATTCTTGGTAGGCAAGGTATTGGCAACACGCGATTAACTCGTGTACACTTTATGGAACAGAGACGTGCACCTTATTATTTGAACTGCATTGTTCTGCTAACAGCCATGCAACTTCTCGTAGAATGTCAAGATTTTCATTATAATTTTTCCCAGCTGTTCTTAAATAGTCGTAATGGCTTGGCGCTTTCCCTGATAATTCCCTCCCTCGATTTATGCCTCTGTATAAAATCCTTGGTTAATGTGATTTCTCTGACATCACTCGTTTTATGTCTGATCCTGTATTGGTATGCTGAATGATAATGGAATATTCAATTACAAGTTGTTGTACAGCCTCCTGGGCTTGATGCTTTTTTTGTGAGACTTATATTGCTAGTGACTGTGTGTTGGTGCTTGTTTATGTGCTATGAAGTGTGTTGGTGCTTGTTTGTGTGCCACAAAGTGTGTTGGTGCTTGTTTATGTGCCATGAAGTGTGTTGGTGCTTGTTTGTGTGCCACAAAGTGTGTTGGTGCTTGTTTATGTGCCATGAAGTGTGTTGGTGCTTGTTTGTGTGCCACAAAGTGTGTTGGTGCTTGTTTATGTGCCATGAAGTGTGTTGGTGCTTGTTTGTGTGCCACAAAGTGTGTTGGTGCTTGTTTATGTGCCATGAAGTGTGTTGGTGCTTGTTTGTGCCACAAAGTGTGTTGGTGCTTGTTTATGTGCCATGAAGTGTGTTGGTGCTTGTTTGTGCCACAAAGTGTGTTGGTGCTTGTTTATGTGCTATGAAGTATACTCACCTAATTGTGCTTGCGGGGGTTGAGCTCTGGTTCTTTGGTCCCGCCTCTCAACTGTCAACTGATGTACAGATTCCTGAGCCTACTGGGCTCTTATCATATCTGGTATCATATCATATATCTGTGTTGGTACTTATGTGCTACAAAGTGTGTGGTGTTTGTTTGAGCTACTCACTGGTCAGCCTGTCTTCTCAGTTGTCACAACAGCCAGAAAATGATGCACTAAATTGACCGAACATGAGAAACGTGGTTGTTGGTGAGCAAAGAGGGAATTGATTACCAACTTGGACTGCCTTTGAGCAGCCTAAGGGCAGTAATATTCCGGAAACTTAGACTAAATTTCGGAGACGAGGCAAAGTAAAATTCACACCAGTTACTCCATCGATCATCATTCTATTGTGCAGGAAGTGCCGCACGTCTATGGGTCACCCAATAATGTTAGCAGACTTCCAGATGTTACCACTGCTAGGCTTAGGCTCGGCTACAAGTACCTCTGGGAGTTTGTAACATCTGCTGAGGTAGATTTGACTAAATGTAAACTGTCAGCGGAACTATTCGCATACTTTGCGTTACTATATAATGGAATGTGAAAAAATCGAGGAATTCAGAAATAACACCATCAATGGTGTCCAAGAAATGTGTTAAGTACTTCATTCATAATGATGTACTGCCCGAAATCTTAGCGAAGTATTCAAAATTTGCTTACTGTAGGTAATGCATGCACATGACTGTAAAGCTGCCGCCCAGTTGGGTGGGTGTGGAGCAAGACTAGTAACTGTGCGACTCACCATAGATGTAAAGTGCCTTGTATAGTGACTGTTGTGAGCCTCTTGTTGATCACTTGTGACACAAAACATTATTGATGTGTGTATTTGTGTGGGTGATTGGATATGTATGTGTATGTATATATGAATACGTATATATATGTACATGTATGTATGACTATGTGTACATGTATATATAACATTAATTATTGTGTAACTAGCGTCAAAAGTTTGTTGTTTGCTTAGCTAAACGAACTAGAGGGTTCAGTTCCTGAACCGATTGTGTGCCTCTGTGGTGAGCACTTATAATTTATAGTAGCACATCATATTTTGTCCGTTGGGGATTTTAACGTCAAAATCCGGTTTATTATTCGAAAGGACAGGTCGCACTGGCTCATCTGACCAGCGGGAAAGCCCCTGGTCTGAGCTGTGGGTAATTTGGAAAGAGACTTGAGGCAAAGTGAAATTTGCGTTCCGCGTTCCCATGACATAGTGTGTGTCATGTCACAATCAACTTGAGAATGGTTCAGGACGGACCGAAACGTCGTCATCCCTTCACCTTATAGTGTGCGGTCTGGTCAACTCAATTTGGGAAGATTCGGCTCCGACCCTTCATTTTGCCCTAGTACACCCTGCGGTAATTGGGGAACATGGATGTTAAACTTTTGGTGGTTCTTGGTAAAGGGAAAACACGATGTTGAATAATCTTAAGTGGTTTCAATGCCTAACCTGAGATCTAAAACGCAACATAACATATAATTGACAAAACTAGTACACAATTCTGTGGCTTCCTGTTGTCCATTGGTCAGGTTCAACAATGCGCACGTTTTGCAGCATATTCAGTCATTTTAATTGACGTGAGACGTAAAACTGTGAAAATATTCTTTGCTTGACAATAAAACAACTAATGTAAGCCTATGCTGACCATTAAATGTGCGCTGCCTGTTTCTTTGCTATTTGTATTGCCCTCTTCCCCCCTCCCCCCCCCTCCAGACACACACACAGCATTTATTATATATTTTGACAATTTCGGTTAGTAAATAACAATTGGAGCGAGTCATCCCTGGGACCAGCCATCACTTGCTCGACCATTAGTGGGGGAAGATTTTCAACATGGTCTTGATCAGGTTTGAACATACGCACCTGCTATGAATGGTATTTGCTGGAAAGTGCAATTTTACTCAATACCAGGTAATTATGTAAACAAAATGTACATTGTTGTTTAAATGGCTCATTATACGTTTTCTTTGTGCGGAGGGACGGCTATTGTAGTGGTGTAATGAGCGGGAGAATATAAAGCAAGTCTGGAGCGGAGAGTGGCCAGTGTTTCCTTGATGGTGTAGAGGAGCTGGTTCACGCCTCACCTCTGGTCACCATCACTCCTCTCTCTCTCCTGGTAAGACTCCCTCGGGATCTATTTCATGCAGGTCATATTTGCTTAGGGCGTAAATATTTTTAAAAAAGCTGTGTATGAAATTTACTCAAACTTCTAAGGGACTATTCCTGTTAAGAGCAATGAAACTGGTTTGCCATTTTTTTTTTTATAAAGTACGGGAACAAAATATTTGAGGGTCTCCACAAAAATTATTCCATTTATTTGGGATTTATAGATAAGTTTAAGTACAGTAACATTGGAATCAATGTTTACTCCGTATATATTTTGAAAAGTTATATAAATGTCAGCAATGTTCCCTATACATGATACACAGAGCTGCTTCAGTCTTGAATGTTTTTTTTTTTTTTATTATTATTATTGTGAATGCGTATTGAATTGTACTGAAGGACGGTTGATAAAGTCCAAATAGTTTTTATTACCTTCGTTTCCGGTACACACGCTATGGTTGACAAAATATTTTACGAAATTTGTGAATTTACAATTTAATGGGTTATTGTTTTGCTGGTGAGAGACAATGGGTCGTTTTTGTGAGTTTGGATTAACATAATGTATGTAAAGTTGGCGCTCGTCTCATGCCATGGAAGGAGTGTATTCAAGGCGAAGTACAAGCACAGTTCTGGCGGTAAATGTGAAATACTAAATAGTTGACGTGATATGCGTTTGATAACCTAGTTAATACAGTTAGTTTTTATAATAATATGAGCTAAGCGGGAAACGGGGAATGAGCGGAAATACTGGGGCTGGACAAAGGGCTCTTTTTGATAACATCAAGAAATCTTTTTTTTATCTTATTTTCAACTGTTATTGTTGGTTTTATGTTGAAACGTCAAATATAGAAAATGCCACGTGATAGATATTGTACATCTAGCTATACAAGCGAGGTCTTGGAGAAACGGTATTAGTTGTGAGTGTGTGTGTGTGTGTGTGTGTGTGTACTCACCTAATTGTGTCTGCAGGATCGAGCATTGACTCTTGGATCCCGCCTTTCGAGCATCGGTTGTTTACACCAATGAGTCCTGTCCCATTTCCCTATCATACCTGGTTTTAAAATTATGAATAGTATTTGCTTCCACAACCTGTTCCTGAAGTGCATTCCATTTTCCCACTATCACGCTAAAAGAAAACTTCCTAACATCTCTGTGACTCGTCTGAGTTTCAAGCTTCCATCCATGTCCCCTCGTTCTGTTACTATTCCGTGTGAACATTTCGTCTATGTCCACTCTGTCAATCCCTCTGAGTATTTTATACGTTCCTATCATGTCCCCCCTCTCCCTTCTTCTTTCTAGTGTCGTAAGGCACATGTCCCTCAGGCGCTCCTCATACCCCATCCCTCGTAGCTCTGGGACGAGTCTCGTTGCAAACCTCTGAACCTTTTCCAGTTTCATTATATGCTTCTTCACATGGGGACTCCATGATGAGGCGGCATACTCTAAGACTGGCCTCACGTAGGCAGTGTAAAGCGCCCTAAATGCCTCCTTACTTAGGTTTCTGAATGATGTTCTAACTTTTGCCAGTGTAGAGTACGCTGCTGTCGTTATCCTATTTATATGTGCCTCAGGAGATAGATTAGGTGTTACGTCCACACCCAGGTCTCTTTCGCGCGTCGTCACAGGTAGGCTGTGTGTGTGTGTGTGTGTGTGTGTGGTCGCCAGTGGCCGGTGTTCAAGGCTGGCCTCCCTCGCACCCTCTTATTATATAAGGTTCCGGTCCCCCGTCCACCAGTTTCCGGGAACATTGCTGCGTTACTTGTTCATTAGTTGCCTCCCTCTCTCCCACCCCCGGAATATCCCCCACTTTAGAGTCTTTACTCCCACCCCCAGGGCTTACTTCCACTCCCAGGGCTTACTTCCACCCCAGGGATTACCCCCACCCCCAGGGCTTACTCCCATCCCCAGGGATTACCTCCACCCCCAGGGCTTACTCCCATCTCCAGGGATTACCTCCACCCCCAGGGCTTACTCCCATCTCCAGGGATTACCCCCACCCCCAGGGCTTACTCCCATCCCCAGGGATTACCTCCACCCCCAGGGATTATTCCCATCCCCAGGGATTACCCCCATCCCCAGGGATTACCCCCACCCCCAGTGATTATTCCCATCCCCAGGGATTACCCCCACCCCCAGGGATTATTCCCATCCCCAGGGATTACCCCCACCCCCAGGGATTATTCCCATCCCCAGGGATTATTCCCACCCCCAGGGCTTACTTCCCACCTCCGTGACTTACTCCCACCCTCACTTCCGTGGCTCTCTCCCACCTCGTAATATAACGATCCCCCCCCCCCGGTATAATCTCCCGCCCCTCCCCCGAGCGCCATCTCCCTCCCGGGGGGGGCTGGTTCCCCCCCCCCCTTTCGGACAAAGTTGCGTTACTGGGGTAAAATCCAGTACTGACCGTTTCTTATTCTTAACGAATTTTAGTGTATGTTGGGTGACCATATTAGTGTTACCTGTGGTGGACCTGCCAGTGTTGCTGCTGAGGCGGCCATCTGTACCTCTCCCACCTGTGTAAAGGAGAATGTAAGTGTTTACTATTTGTATCTGCAGAATTGAGCTATTAGCTCTTGGACCAATTTATTTTTCCTCTATTATGTCTATACACACGCGAGCACACATCCCCGGGAAGCAACCTGTAGCAGCTAACTCTCAGGTACCTATTTACTGATAGGTGAACAGGAGCACTAGCGTGAAAGAAACCCTGAATTTGCTGGGGGATCAAATTCAGGCCCTTACTTAGGACTACAACAGGAGCGCTGTTCACAAACCGCGAGGCCCCTGTGACTCCGAGGGTAGAGGTCAGACGCATGGGGCCTCGCCAAACTTTCACACGTGTGGGGTTCAAGTATGTTTATTGAGACAAAAAATACATCTCAAAGGGATAGAGTAGCTTAGGCTATTTCTACCCCCCCCCCCCCTCTACTTCAAGTCCCTCAAGGGGCGCACAAAAGTCAGTGAGTACAAATCCATAAATCACAATACAGTAATCCCACTTAACATTGCAGGTTAATATAGTAAGCACAGCATATAAGTGTTACACTCTTGGGGCAAAATTCTTGTAGCTCCTAAGTATACTGTCTATCATACCATTATCACACATCCAAACTGTTTGATGTAGTACACTACTTATTTCTTTATTTCTGTAGTTATCAATAAGGTGTGGTGTATGGGGGTGTCTTAGGCCGGTCGAGATGTGCTCAAGTGTTACACTTTTACACGTATTGATATTTAACCCCCCCCCCTCCCCCCAACATGAAATTATCATCTATCTTGAGATGATTTCGGGGCTTGGTGTCCCCGTGGCCCGGTCCTCGACCAGGCCTCCTTTTTGTTAAATACCCTGCAGGAAGCAGCCTGTAGCAATTGTCTTAATTCCCACGTACGTATTTACTGCTAGGTGAATAGGGGCATCAGAGTGAAAGAAACTCTGCCCCCCACTTTCCGCCTTCACCGGGGATCGAACCCAGAATCTCAGGACTACGAATCCGAAGCGCTGTCCACGCAGCTGTCAGGCCACCCAAGGTCATAATAATGAGGTCAGAGGCCAGATTCACGAAGCAGTTACGCAAGTACTTACGAACCTGTACATCTCCCCTCAATTTTTGATGGCTTTGGTTATATTTATTAAACAGTTTACAAGCATGAAAACTTGCCAATCAACTGTTGTTATTGTTATAAACATCCTCCTGGTACTTCGAAGCTCCTTAACTGTTTAATAATTGTAAAAAAAGCAGTCAAAGATTGAGAAAAGATGTACAGGTTCGTAAGTGTTTGCGTAACTTCTACGTGAATCTAGTAATATTTGTGTTGTTCTGTCAGTTTCAATGATCCTTAATAAAAAAAATCTGAGAGATGGGGGGGGGGGGAGATAGGTGGAGAGGGTTGATATGGAGAGATGGAGAAGAGTGGGAGAGACGGAGAGAGGAAAACAAGGGAATATGGAAAGAGATGAGGAGGAGAGAGACCAGAGTCCGCCCTCTATTCTCACATGAGGGAATTCTTTATTCATAGTTCTACCCGGTCATTCATATCTCAATCCTCCACTTCGTTCCTGTCATCATTGTCCCTAATTCATCTTCTAACTTTACCCCCCCCCTCCTCCCTCCTCATAAAACACTTCTCAAAAACATTAAAAAACTGAAAAACTCTATGGGAACAAACTAAATATTTTACTTGACTATGAAAATCGCATCAGAGGTGCTCTATAAATGCTAATATTCCTTAAACTATTTAACTTTGGTTGACCCCAAACCCGCATATTATCTGTCCCATACCACAGCCCATACCTGTCCCATGCAAGCCTCGCTTCCTGCAAAATTGGGCCAGGCTTGCCCCAAGCATCTGGCCCCTAATCTTGGACAGACAGACAGTCTGCCATATATACACACTAGGGTGGGGGGGGATACCCGTGCGCTTCTGGACTCAATGAATACCAACATTATCCTCACTTTAATAAGACTATCAAAATCCTCAGATTAGGCAAAATTGTAATTAATTTTGTCAATAGAGATGTTAATAATAATAATAACTTATCCTGCTGCCCCAATCTCATCTCTTTCCTCTCTCACTTCCCATTTACTCCCTCCGCTCTAACTTTCTTCCCTGTCGCCCCTCTCCCATTCTCTCACCTCTTCCCCCCCCCCCCCCCCTCCTCTCCCTCTTCTCCATTCGTTCTCTATGTCTGTCATCCTTTGTCTTTTTCCTCTTGTTTTTCATTTCGCCAGATGTAAGTGGTGGGAATCAGTAATGTGCAAAAAACTGGACACTTTTCTGTAAGATGTGCCGGACCAACTGGACTGTGGTGGGCCTGCGGGCCGCTCCAAGCAACAGCCTGGTGGACCAAGCTCTCATAAGTCAAGCAACAGTGTGAGATGTGTTCTGAGAGTTGTTCTTGACTGTGCTTGACTTGTGAGAGTTGTTCTTGACTGTGCTTGACTTGTGAGAGTTGTTCTTGACTGTGCTTGACTTGTGAGAGTTGTTCTTGACTGTGCTTGACTTGTGAGA